TACTTAGCTAGAGAAGGTAAAAGAAATAGAATATAATCTTCCATAGTTCCCAATCTCTGAAAAGGAATAAAAGGAAGAATAGAATTTTATGGGGACAGAATAGCAAAGGTCATCAAAATTAGGTATCTATCTATTAAGTATCCAAAATTTAACAAAAACATTCAATAATCCTTGCTGGGTGCAAACATTTTAAAACACTGAAAAAATCAGAGCCTTTTCTAAATAAATTAAAGCAGAAAAAAACAAGCTATTTAGAAACAGAATATACTTCTCATACTTGCCAGCAAAAGGAGGCAAAGAGAATTGTCTGGCCTTTTCACAAGGGGATCACAGTAGAGCCAACAGATATGTTTGTCTCCAAGAGAGACATCATGATGACAAAAAAGAAAACAGAGAGAAGTCTGATCTATTGTGGAAAGATAAGCAGGGATCAGTAAAGATAGAACTGCAGAAAGTTTAGAGCTAGGAACCTGAAGGTGCTTTTGAACACACAGCATATACCACCAATCTCTGAGAGTTACCTTTCTTACAACTATAGGACTTGTTACTCGATAAAGAAACAGCCCACTCTTGCAAGTGGAAATGGGTAACACCTTAATCCCTTTAATGAAAGATAAGAGAAGACAACACTATGTCAATGGAACCATTGGCTGCCATAACTACCAAGAAATAAATAAAAAACATCACTGCAAAAGCCTATTAACCAAAATTCTTAACCTGGCTTTTCACCTTTCAGGATATGCAACCCTTGATGGAGGTATTATTTGTGTTGTACTGTAATGCAGTACTAAAACATCTGCTTTCCACATGATTAATTTAACAAATAAGTCAACAAACTGACAGACTCTGAAACAGGACACGGCAGTAGGCAATAGCCAAAGTGTTGAGGCTCTCTAGTATGACAGGTTATTGTCTACAAACTTAGAGGGGATTTAGAACAAGACAGCCATAGAAACAAGATGGTACTCAGCAGTAACAGATTATTGACTAGTTATACTCTTATAATAACCATATGGCATACTGCTTTCTTCAAGCTCATTTCATAAACTATCACTTTCATTATAATACAAGACCATCTACCAACCAAAAAATACTCAAGTCTGAATTTTCCCCTGCCCAACTGCATGGGATTTTTTAATCCAACAGATGAACTCATTTGAACTATGAGCATATGTCTACTCAAAATGCTTTAGAACCGAAGATTTTTGCTTCTTCGGAACATTATTAATTACCTCTGAAGGCCTTGCTAGATTTCATTTGCAAATAGCTAGATACCATATGGGAGACAACTACAAACTGTTTCTGCCTCCTTACATATCAATGGATTTTAAAATCTATTCAACCTTGCCGCAGGTAGAATTTTTAATGCTTTCACAAGCAGCTACATTTACAAACTTGAATATTTTCTAAAGTCTACATTACATTCTAGTAGATCAGACCAACTGCAATTAACTTGAACAACAAAACCACTGAAATCTGCATGGAAATCAAAAGCTTCAAAAATGTGACAATCTGATTTTTCTAAAACAAATGAGAATTACACAAGTTACCTAAAGCAAACCTAGGTACCTAAGGCAAATCAGTATCCATCTATTACGCTATAGTCCAGCATCTATTTATAAAGGCATCAGAAATAAAAAAAAACTATCATTGAGGTATCTCTATAAAGCAAATGCTATATTTAATGAGCACTAAAAGATTAACACACACTCATACTCTAGCATAAACCATTTCTAGATTTACATTAGCCATCTTAAAGGCAATGAGAAGATATTCCAGATTCTAAACTGGAGAGATTTCCTTTATAGCAGATCAGTTAACTAAGACTTCATGAACAGTATTTTTGAGCTGCATCAAATAAATAATATGAATATGAAGACCAGATAACAAGAACAGAAACAAAAGAATGCTACTATAATATTGATATACAGCATCTACACAAAATGTGTCTGAGCAGACAGATGGTAGATAAAGTTTGTAAGTAGGCTCCACATTTGATTCCCTTGCTATTAATAGAAGCCTAGGCTGTGGTGGCCAAGGTTATATCAGGCTAGACACACTCCAGTTTCCTAAGTCCACCATGAAGGCCTCCTAACTTTGACATGCAAAGCATTACCTTTGTAATTGTGCAGTTGATTTGTATACACAAAGTTAAAACACTATCTAAACACGCTGCATTGTAGCAATTCAAGTCAATAGGTAAAACTCTGTGTGTTTGCACACAATAATGGTTTTCACATTGGTGAAAGCTTATTTTACTTTGTCTTGCACAGCAAACAAATTTCTAGTTCACTAATTGCAATGGCTTAACATCAGTTCTTGTCTACACAAGTAGAAGTGACCTTATGTTAAATGCAGGCACCCCATATGCTGCCGTGTATTGCCCTCCTTATATGTCCAAGAGGACTGGAAAATCTACTGCACAATGCCAAGTGCTGTTTCTGAACAAATATTATTCATTTGTTCAGCAATTCTTTAGCTTTAGTGACCAAAACTCCTGAAGGGACCTACCTCACAAACAAGAAAATTTACTCTCAAATTCTACCATTAAAAGTAGTAAGTAGGGCACACAAAAATGAGATTGTTACTCCCTCAGGGTTTGTATGTGCTTACATTGCAAATTTAAGAGCATTTTTTATTTCTTCTTTATTAAACCAGATTTCCTCAAGAAGAAAACTGTTCAAAATAAGAAAAGACAACTGTGAAAGCTATACAGTCTGGGATGAGCACAGCATCACAAGTCATTTTAGTATTCACCCTAAGTAGCTCAATTTGTGTGTGCTCTGTTAAAATCCTGCCACTAAGAGGAGCCCTAAGTCTATTCCACAATGAACAGTGGAAGAAGTATTATTTTTTTTTCCTGTTTCTCAAGATCAATGGAAACTCTTACTTCAGTGATGCTGAGGAAAGCAGAATCACCACAAATTGAAGAAGAACTGATAAAGAAAGAATCACTTCAGCAGTAGCAACTTGAAACCACTTAAGATTACTGAAAACAAAAGGAGGAAGAAAATTCTGACATTGGAGTAAGTCCATCAATAAGAAAAGAGTCCACCAAAAAAGAATGAATAAATGATGAAGGTAGATTGCAAGAGAAAGAAAAGGTGAGAAAAGCATAAGAAACAAAAACTGAAGCCACCTCAAGGCTTGCAGCATTATACAGTGATTATACAGACACAAAGAATTGGAGTCAAGGCAGCAACATTCAAGAAACAGAAAAAGAAGAAGTCATTAAATCTCTAAGTAGGAATGCAAAAAGAGAAGGAATCTTAATATGCTGAGTGAATGATACAGAGTTATAGCCTGTAAAGCTGCAAAACCAAGAAAATAACCAAGGAAAATGTTTTAAAACTTCTCTATGTTCGTGTTTTCTGCTAGGTATGCCACAACTTCAAATTCAACAGCATACCATGTCATCCAGGCTAAGACAGTCAAGACAGACCATTCCAGAAGGTTTGTCAGAAGAGAATCCTCATTCAAGCCCTCCAAACTGTCATCTAGTGAAGCCTTTACCTAGCTGGTGAATCAACAGGAACACAGGGAGCTCCAGAAGACACTCAGTTGTAAAATTTGAAGTTGACTGGCTAGGTATCACCTTCATCCAGTAACTGGTTGACTGATCTTTCCTTTCACCATTGAGTACATATGAGAACAAAGGAGGGTTTAACGAGGTACCCGATTCCTCTTCTTCTGACCAGGCACTTCAGTCTTGCCTCCAGTAGGTCAGAATACAAAAGACCTTTGACTTCCACAAAAACCTGCCCTGTTGTATTCATCCAAGGGCTACCACATTCCTTGATTTAAAGCTAAGGTGGTAAAATGAATTGCAGACTGGGAAATCACACAAAAATGCGTCCCTCTTACTCAATCTGTTCACTTTGGCTTATCTGCTCACATGCTGTCCCAAAGTATTTTGACTTCTCGGCTAGCTGTGTTAGGCCAAGGCTGCTAGCTGGAAGCTGACAGGTACTGCCTCCCATGCACTCTGCCTTATCAACTTCCCTGAAGGCTGGCACTCGGTGCAAGGGCAACAAGGTTCGCACGAGCGTCCTAAAAAAAAGGCACGCCCACATCAACAAAGCCACCTTGCCGAACCCCGGCGGACTCCTCGCTCAGCCCGCGGTCCGAGCCGCAGCCAGGGATGGAGGCAGGCAGCCCGGGAGGCGGCAGGGGCCTCACCTCTTGCCCTTCCTCAGGGCGGCTGCGGGCCGGGGCCGCGCTCCCGGCCCGGCCCGGGCACAGTTCGGCCGCCCGCGGGGCCGCCCCCGCCGGCAGGTGCCCGCCCGCCCCGCCGCGGCCGCCCCGCGCTCACCCGGCCTCCCGCATGACGTTGCTGTCGCCGCAGTCGCAGGCGCCCCCCGCCTGGCTCCGGAACATGTTGTAGTCGTGCCCGGCGTGCTCGCCCTGGTGGAAGCACTCGGCGCACAGGCTCATGCAAGGCGAGATCCCGCACGTCCGGCACCGGTAGGCCACGAAGTTGGCGGTCCAAACCAGGCCGCATAGCGTGGCGGGGTCGTAGGCCCGCACGGCTTGCACGAAGCTGTCCCAAGGCTCCCCGCCCGACAGCAGGCAGCGGCACCACTCCAGCGCCTCGCCGGCCGCCTCGCCACCGCCAGGGCCCGCCGCCGGGGCCAGCACCAGCTCCAGCAGCGTCCGCAGCTCCGCCGCCGCCGCCGCGCCGCTCTCGCCACCCAGCGCCGCCTTCAGCCGCGCCGCCGTCTCCCGCTTGTCCCTGCTGCTGGCGCCGGCCCCCGCCATGACGGGACACCGAGGGGCCGTTACGGCCGCGCCGGGCTCCGGGTCCGCGATCCCTCCGCCGCCCTCGCTCCCCGCCCCGCGGCGCCGCCCTCTCGCGATAGCCGCGGCACCGGCGCCCTGCCCGCCGCCCGCGCCCCCCTCCCGACACCGCCTCTCCCCTCCCCTGACACCACCCTCCTCTTCCTCCGCCCCTGCCCTCCCGCCGCCCTCCCAGCGCGCAGGTGCGCGCCCCGCGCCGCCGCCGCACGAAATGTCGCCGCCCGCCGGCCCGAAACTTCACGTTCCCGGGGTCCCGGCAGCCGCGAGGAGCGTGGAGGGTACACCTGGGCCGGCCGGCGGCCCCGACGGCAGCGGAGCTCGTTTGTTACCGAGCCGTGCATGCAGCGAAGCGGCTGCCGTGAGACGCCCCGCTGCAGCCCGTGTATCCTGACCACAAGGGTCTCGCCTGGCTCAGGTGGTGGCGGCTTTGAGGGCAGGAACAACTGCGGGGAATGTGGGAGGCACCTCTGAGGCTTCGGGCCGGCGGTTCTACCCTCGCTGCCATCAAGCGGCCCTGCTATGGGGGCAGAGCAGCGCCGGGCTCCGGCGGCAGCACTGCACCCCAGGGTGGCCGCAGAGCCGCGCCCCGAGGTACCAGCGTGCGGCTGCCTGCGCCCTGCGACCAGGGGAGAACCCATGTGGATGCGAGTTATCGTGTTTCGCACACCGATCGGCGGCTTTAAACCTTGATAAATAGATTTTCAACTGTGCAATGGAAAGCCTTATACGAAAAAATCTATTCCTAAATGAGAGTAACCTTCTACCCGACAGCTACGGGCCTCAAGGCAGCTGCCTCACTTCTGGCTTTGCCTGCGTTTCCTACGGCTGCCGGTCTGCTGGCGGCTTGTGTCGCGCTGCGGTTCCAGGTGAAAGTTACTCCTCTCCACGACCGCTTTTCCCAGCGCGCCGGCAAAATTCCAGTTCCTTGCTCTGTCCCTAAGGGCACTCAGGAGCGGGACCACCGAGAAAGCCCGCTCTGCCAGGTGTGTCCCTGGCGCTTTCACAGGCACCGCTCAGCGGTGACACGTAAGGCTGCAATAAAATGTCTCGTGTTTATAATAAACGAGCCCAAAGCTCGCACTTGTTAACGCCACACGGGGAAGCTCCCTGGCGTTTCATTCCCGCAGGTGCCCGTCAGCCCGGGAAGGGGCGGGGCGGCGCGCCGGAAGACGGAAGTGCGCGGTGGCGCTCGGAGCGGCCCGGCCGAGCTGCGGTGAGCGGGCGCGGTACCGAGCGGGGACGGCGCTGGGGCCGAGCGGACGGTGCAGGTGGTGGCGGTCGCTGGGGCTCAGCTCCTGCCCCGCTTAGGGCTGGGCGGCGGGCGGGCCCGGGCTGTAAAAGCGGAGCCCGGGGCCTGAACTCTGGGAGCCGGTGAGGAGCGGGGCTGCAGCCGCCCGGGTATTCCCCATCATCGGTGCGCCACCAGCTGCGTCCCGGGAAACGGCAGGAGATGTGAAAACACCCAGGAGATGCTGAAGAGTACCAGGGGCTTTTAAGTATGAAATAATTTAAGATCATACGTGGTTTATTTATATTGTTGTAACTGATTACACATTATTTTCTTTAGTAAAACCATAAACATGAAGAAATTAAAGCTTAAAGAACTGGAAAGCTGTCTTCAACAAGTTGATACTTTTGAAAATCCAAAACTACTCCTTGAACAATATCCAACAAGACCTCATATTGCAGGTAGAGGTGACCCACACCACTGTTTCCTCTTTTACTATTTCATAAACACTTATAATTCAAAAAGTTTTTTCTACTGCATTGTCTGAAGGCTTTACACTGAAAGTAGTTAAGAAAGTATATCCAGCAGGAATGTGTATAGTAGCACTCTGGTAATGTGTGTCTTCGTTTGAAAAATGCAACCTAAGACAATGTCCAATCCAAAAATCAAATTAATTAATCTAATAGGGAATGTTGTGATAGAAGCAGTCTTAATCTGTAACTGTAGAAGCTGAAATGGAGCTATGTCATGACCCACAAAACCAGTAAAAGTATATATACAGATGCTCATCTATACCCTTAATTATGCTCTTTTCCATATTTTATATCCTCCTATTGTTTTTCCGAAAAAAAGTTTAGAGGCATACTTTTTCTACAAGCAATACTCAGAGCTCTATCTCTCCACCAAAAATCCACAGTTTGTGACTTGTCAAAATGTTTTTGACTCTTCACATATAAATGAAAAAGAGACTTACAGGCAGTGAGAACATCAGTTTAACTAAAAGGGTTTTCTAATGCAAAATTAAGAGTTTCCTGAAGGCAGAAACAGCTTTTCTTGATTAATCACATACATATTTGGTATCATTGACCTGTTTTGTTTGGGTTTTCTTTTCCCCAGCATGTATGCTTTATACAATTCACAATACTTTTGATGATATTGAAAACAAAACAATTGCAGATTTAGGATGTGGTTGTGGCATGCTCAGCATTGGAAGTGCAATGTTAGGAGCAGGGTAAGTATTTAATATTTCTGGTTATATTTCTTTCTGGCATAGAAAAGTAGAAAGTAAGATTAAAATATAGCACTGCTGAACTAAAACATTTCAGGTTTATAATATGGTGCATAATCAGGCTAATATTTACCAAGTTTTGACTATCAATAGCCATTCATACTGTGAAAGTGATGGACAGCTGTCATTAATTTGGAAATCATCTGCTTTCCCCAGAAGCATTAAATGAACATATGAAACTCCCTTAACAAAATTTAGATTTATACCTGAGAAGGGGCAAGAGAAGTGCTTGCATTTTTATCAGCACTGGATGTATTACGTATGCTCGTTACATTTCCTAGAGAAAACAAATTGTGTACACAGATCCCTTACTGTAGAATTTAAACACCATTTTAGTTTGTAGACTAATATGTGCTACTTTTCTTAATAGATTCTGTGTGGGCCTTGACATAGATGCAGATGCACTGGAAATATTTAATAGCAATATTGAAGACTTTGAGCTCACGAATGTCAACATGGTTCAGTGTGACATCTGTTCTTTATCTGACAGCATGTCAGATACTTTTGACACAGTTATTATGAACCCTCCATTTGGTACCAAGCATAACAAAGGTTGGTAATTGTGAAGCTCAGTTAGAAATTATCACAAATGAAACAGCAAGAGAAATGCTTTCAATGAAACAACTCCCTTGTTTATTAAATAGTTTATATTGTTTATATTCTAATTTCTTAATGTTTTGTTTATCTGGAATCAGCTTCCTAAGATTAGCAACTTCAGCATTGTAACTAAGTCACTAGGGTTTGAAATAAACAATACTAGATATTTCCTATCCCTATCATCTTTATTTTATTAAAAGCAATTGAGTATGTTTTAGAAATACTTTCTGTACCTTAATGTATTCAGTGCTGTTTCTCAAGTAGCTATTATTCCAGAAAAAATTAAGCAGATCTTTGCACTTCCATTTAACAATTCTAATAATTTCATTATTGTTTTAGGAATTGATATGATTTTTCTGAAAACTGCTCTACAAATGGCAAAAACAGCTGTATATTCCCTTCACAAAACTTCAACACGACAGGTAAGTTCTTCATTTTAGTAGGGCAGGAACTAACCAGACAACAAAATATTTGGCTATATCGATGTCTATAGCTTCACTGATTTGTCAACTGCTTTGTGGGGCATGTTTGGGATAAATACTAATTACATCAAATAACTGCAATCTCACATACATCAAGGTAATTATGTGATCTAACACTTTGGCATGAAAATCAAAAGCACAGGAGACTTATTAAGTACAGAGGTGTAGATGCTTATAAAACAGATAATTTTAAAAGCTCATTTTTACTTGTAGCACATTCAAAAGAAAGCAGCAGAATGGGAAGTGAAGATGGAAGTCTTAGCAGGTAATATTTATTTAACAGGAAAAAAACTCAGTATCTTTTGGTTTTGTACATTAACACTATCAGCCAGTCATAACAGCCCAAGATAAATTTAGGTGTGATTTAACACAGAAATGACACGGGTCTTTCTCTTTTTAGCAGACTTTTAAAATGTTTTTTTAAATTTTTTGCTACCTGGCAAGAATACAAGCAGGCACTTAATAAAGCTCTGAGAAATACTTATTCTGTGCAGAATTAGGTTTGTTCCTGGACTAGATTTTGTTTTCAAACAGAAATTACCTCTTCCTGCTTCAAAGTGCATGTTGCTGAAAAAGACAAGTGAAACACAGGTCAGTTCTCACACACAAAAAAAACATCCTGTCCTTAGCCACCTGAATATTTTTGCCAGTTAAGTATCTTCCCATCTTCTGCTAACCAGGTGCTTTTTACAGTCATAGAACTTGAGATGTGAAGTTGCACAAGTGCTTGAAACACAACTGCCATCCACTTAAATGTCTGATATGGACTGCTTCAATGTTTAGTCCTGATGTAGTGCAGACATACAACAGGTATGATAGGCCACAGCAGATGCAGACATTAGAAACAGAAGCACATGGCTGTAGCGCTTAAGTGACTGATTATCATCCTAGTCTAACATGTATTCTTTATACTGTTCACAGAACTTAGGTTTGACTTACCAGCATCATACAAGTTCCATAAGAAGAAATCAGTAAGTATAAAACCTAACATAACTGAGAAAATGCTGAGATAAATAAATTCTCCTTAATGAAATTTAAGTTTTAGGGCCATATGTACTGGATGAAGAATGGTCACAGCATTCAGTGACATCCTTGCTGTTACTCCATTTTGTAGCTGAACAGGGAAAAGCATCATGATGCCAAAGCTCTACACAAAGATTAAAGCAGCACTGCAGTTAGATGTGATAAAGCTAAGGGTAGCCTCCTTGACTCAACTCCTAATAACTCTTAGCTCAGTCCTCTCTGCAGCTCAGACCAGAGTGGATGCAGTGTTGAAGGCCACAGTAACAAGGATGTTATAGCAGTAGCATTATCTCAGAGCCAGCCTGGGGGCAGCAGGAGGAACTGGTGCTCACTGGTAAAAGATACAGTCCAGGCCCACAGTATGGCAGCCTAAAGCCCACAGCAAGTTCCTTGCTACTGAATGCTGGCCTGGAAGCCATGTATCCCCATCCCTTAGCATGAGGAAAGTAGAGAGGAGAGTAAGCAAGAGTTGGAACACTGTTTAGTAAGTTGAGCAGCAAACAGAAGCTTTAATCACCTGCTGACTACGCTCTTGGTGACTTGAACTTAAAATTATTTAAGTCTGTCCTTATCTTTGCTACTTCACAGTTGAAACATTATATTAACCAGGCTTCAGTAGAAAGCAGTTTTACATTCTGAATTTATTGCCAGCTGCTATTAAACATAACCACAAGATTACAAAGTCCAAAACCTTTTACATTTGAATAAGATGCCAGAAAAATTGAGAAGATGTGACAGTATAAACAAAACTATAAATAGAAAAGTTGTCCAGGGTTTTATGTCAGCAGTAAGCATGCTTCTTAAACAAAACAAAAAAGCTGTAATCCAATAAAATGAAACTTTTCTCTAATTGTAGGTTGACATTGAAGTGGATTTCATTAGATTTTCTGCCAAAAAGTCCTGAACTGAGGCATGTATTTAAAATCTATTGAAAATGGAACAATAAAACCACTAATTTTTTTAATTCTTTTATTTGACTATTACTGATTGCCATCTCCATTTTCTGTTTTCAGTTGTTTTGGTGCAGGTTCTTCCTTTTCTGTTTCCTCTAGTGGTCTCTTCTTGGGACTTGCTGGTTCTGCAAGATTGAATTTGTAGTCATTTAGAATAAAGGAAAGCTTTGCCTGAAATCTGAAAACACCCAAACTCTTCCCACCATGTAAGTTTGAGTCCCAGTTATCTACAGCTACACTAGAGGGTTTGCTTATTACTGTCACTAAAGCTTTCAGATGTTCTAGAATGCCCCATTTGAAGAGCTTCACCCCTGTCTTAACTCCACAGCAGGAGGGCAGGTAAGAAAATGAAGGAATAGAATCTACCAGGAGTAGGGGTCACTAGGTTTCAGTTAAGCAGGTGCTATATGGAATAAACAGGAGCATATAGCACCTGCTTAACTAAAACCCAGCTCTTCCTCTACTCCCAGCTAAATACTGACAGGCTGAGCTATTAAATCTTCTCATATCCTTAAAAGGAAAAAAAAAAGCACCACTCAAGAGACTGAGTCTGTCCAGTTGTGTAATGCTGCTGACAATCACCATGTTTCAATGCATGGTTGTTTTACACAACCATGCAGTATAGCCTTACCTATATACTCCTATATAGATAATTAATATCTATATCGTAATTATCTTAATATGCTTTTTGGACAGTTGTGGAAGGAATCAAGCATAAGACTCTTAAGGCAGATACTGTAAGGAGGGCAGAAATGACACAAAGCAGAACCAAATGTGAAACACAAGTACATGGAGCTACTTTCTGTAAAAGTACTGAATAAGCTGCATCAAGTGCACAGAATGACATACCTGTTTTAGTATCATTTTCACCATCTTCTTCATCATTCTCAAACTTTATTTTCTTGCCCTGAAACTGTATTTTTCCTTTTTGTGCACCCTGAGGTATCTTTCCTCCTCTTCCTTTTCCTTTAATTTTGCGCCCTGTTGGAGACATAAGATCGGGAACTTTGTATCATTTGTCTCTTAACTGGCCAGCTGCAGAGGCTGCTTTACAGTTAAGGTCAGTCTGTAGTATATATCGACTACTTAATAGTGAATTTCATCCACCAATTCTAGGACATTATAAAGGCTTAAATTAATAAGTGGAGGGAGAACCTTTTGTTTTCTGTTTCAGCAATTCCTGCTGATCTTCCAGGATTTTTTTCAGAGCTTCTTTCTCTGCATCTCCTTCTAGTATTTCCCATGAAACATCCTTGTTCCGGAGCTGCAAGTTTCCATTATGTGCTGCTTTGGCTTTTTCCAGAGCTTCTTTGGCAATATCCTTAAATAGGATAATTCCCTTTAAAAGAAGAGTGGTATTTCATTTTAATCTTACTGCAAAAACATTCAGCTAGAATGACGAACAATATATCCTGTTGAGTGCCTCAGCAAATTCATTACTTTTGTATGATTGTATAACATGACTAGACTGAAGCAAAGCCCTCAGACTGTGCTAATGAACATTCTTAGTTTTGACCTTCTCAACTAACAAGGCTGGAACCTTTATCTGTTCTTCTGAAAGAAGGGAAAAATTTAATTCTCTAAATATTCTGCAATTTCACAAGACAATAACTTACTCGATAACATAAAAGAACAAACTTTTAATCATCCATTTTCAAACTTCAATACTGAAATCTTAAGTCCTTGTCTAAGATTACTGACCTCCTTTGCACCTCTGACAAAGTGTATCCACTTGATTTCTCCGTGACCAGAAAATACTTCATGGAGGTCTTCTCTGCACGTTTGGTCATCTAGATCACCAGAAAACTTCAAAAGACATCCTGTCTTTTCTTCCAGAGACTTCTAAATTCAATTAAAAACCCCCACATTATCATTGAAGAGTCAAGTTTGAATATTCATATTCCCCCTCAACCCTGTTAAACATACTAGTGGTAAACAAGCAGTTGAAGTTACAGTAATTCAAGCATTTTTCCTACATAACCTAGTCCTGCTGATGTCCAGGTCTTGTACAGTCTGTGTCCCCTCCTTTTTCTTTGCTTACTGTGATGCACTTATATGGAACTTAGGACTCTTTTCCCATATTAATTACACTCTTTCAATTCTACAAAACAGCTTTCTGAAGGCTGATAGGTTAAAAATTTATATAATACTGGTGAAATCCTTAATGGATCCTTTAAATACCATAGAACAACCATCATCTCACAGTAGTGCATTCAGGAACACTCTGAACAGACAAACATGTCTAATAATGTAAATTCAGAACATGAGCCTTTAAACAAAATTAGCCTATTGAAAATAATATTAAAACACCATGACAAAACACTCTTACTGTAAGTTAGTTGGAAAAGCTGAAGTGACTTTCTAGAAAGTGTTCTGTATTACAATATTTCAAACGGAATATTCCATGTTAGCTTTATAAAATGTAGGTGATTTAAGAAACCCATACCATTTCAGCATCTGCTGCTTGTTTCTGCTTTTCTTCTTTTTCCCTGCAAAAAAGTTAAATTAGTTATGAGTCAGTTCAAGCATGGTCAGGCAAGCAAGACACACACTTTGATTGGCAGTAACTCACTGTTTAGCTCTTGCTTTCGCTTCTACTTTGTTTTGTTTCCTTTCTTCATTCTTCTTTGTACAGTACTCCTCCCTTCAACAGAATATAGGTTGATTTAAAATATTCTGTTATAATAGATGTGAAACAGATGAAATTATTTTTCCAAGCTGAGATGCTAAGTCTCAGTCTCCAAAAGCCATGAAAAACTCACTTCTCAGGCCAAGCCTGGTTCTTGTTAAATCCACCCCTGACCACTGTTAGTTCATGTACCAGTTAAGTGGACTTACTTGAAAAGTACTATCAGCTCTGTGTCTTTGTACTTTTGATTTGGTATCTCTGTGAACTTCTTAGCAGATTCAACACTATCAAAAACTGCAAATATTGAGCCCTGTTAAGTGATAAGAGATATTGTTAGAGTAACTGAACAGAATGCTGTCCAGGAGGGATCCCTGCCCCAGGGCTAAATGTTCATCATTACCTTAAACGTTCTCTGCAATGTTCTCCTCATTTGAATATTTTCAACTGGACCTTTATCCTCAAGCCATTCTTTGATATCATCAAGAGTAGCATCTAGTGGAAAGCCTTTCTGCAAGATAGCAATGAGCTTCAATTATATGCCACAAAGTGACTCTTAAAAATTATAACTTCTATAGTACGTGTTAATTAAAGTCATGCAGGACAGCACAAAGTAAAGAAAAATTTACTTACAACGTATACAGATCTGTTTTTAATTGCAGCCTTATACTGGTCATTTAATTCAGGAAGGGGTTTATTTGGAGATCTTCTGATTTTAGTTTTGTCTTCATTTATTTCCATTAAACCAGTTTTGGATTTTCTAAGTGCTTCTACAATAACACCAAAATCTTTTGAAAGGCGACTTAACCTATTGAGTAAGCAGACAGAGGTTATTACAAATACACAGGCAAAACTGAAGCCAGATGTTAAAAAAGAGATGGGAAAAGTAAATGCACATCAGGAACACTTGGCCCCCAATAGAGATAGGTAGCTGAAAGTTAATCTTTTATCCATATTAGTTGTACTTTGCTTTACCTGTTGAATTTGATCATTACTTCTAAAGGTACCCAGCCATCATCTAGTTTGATCTGTTCCTTTAGAAACTTGTCTCTTGGTAGATTGTGATTGCCAAAATAGTACTGCAAAAAGGAAGGGGGAAGGGGAGGAAAGAGAGATGTGTCTTTAAATTTTCAGTCTTAAAATCTCATTTTCATCTAACAGCTTATTGCAGTAGATTAAGACATACGAAAACTAATTAATTAATCTGAACAATTGGGAATTCTGAAATTATTACTTCCTGCTCTAATGTGATACTTTGTAAAAAGTTAGCTGCAATGTGTAAGCTGTAAAAACAAAATCACCAGAAACCAACCTACACCAAAACAGTTCTTCATCCAATGGCATTAATGAGGCAAAAATAGATTGCAATTTTGTTTAGGAAAGGAGCAAAGCTTTTTCTGTTAACATGATAAGCATTTATCACCCTGATCAAGCTTAGCAGAGTCAAAAGTCAAATGTGTCATCAGCAGATCCAGGTTGTACTCCTTATTTAAGGAGTATGGATGCAAGAATATGGTATATGCACACTGAAAAATCATACACACAGACTGGAATTTCTAGGTCTCATTTGAGAAAACACTCTAAGATAAAGAAATCATTATTTAATTTTTAATTTTAGTTATTATGTTCTTATTTCGATCTTGTCTGGCATGGGAAGACAATTCACTTCAAGACAGACAAGTCAATCAGATTCTTTCCCTGCAGTCATCTAGCAAAGGTCAAATACTTGAAACCATAAGGTAAGCTGGAATATTTTCACCAATATCGTGGTGCTTTGAAAAGTCAGTGCAAGTTTTACAACACTACCTCTTCCTCTAGTACATCTCAAACTCACACTACCAAAAGTCTAGTTTTGTCAACTATTTATATATAACAAACCAACAAAATGTAGAGGTTGAGCAATCTCCACATTTTGTTTGTTTGTTATATATGAATAATGGCTCCACATGGTAATGGGCATGCAGCTATGTTTTTGTCCTTCAGGAAAGTGGTTTTGTTCTACATGCCATTTAAAGCAATGGGCTCAGGTTTTTTGTTGTAGGGTAACCCTGCAAGCCTCTAAAGAAAAAAAGAGTTAATCCAAAGTAGGCATATAAGTTTAGTTGTAATTTGTAGCAATAAATTACAAAGAAGTAAATCATAATAGCAAGTTACGCAATGTGCTACTATTTTGACCAGCAGAGATTCCCAAGGAGGAGGATTTTTTTCCCCACAAAAATTGAGGCACATAGAATTAAAATGCACTCTTCTCCTATTTGCACATGTAGAATAACCCCAGCAAACATGGTAGTAAATTGTTCAATGATTCACTTGCTATAGCACCTAAAATGCTAGCAAATTAAACCTTTTCTGTTTTGAAATGGTGTTCTTACAAGCAACTGTAGA